GATGTGTAACATTGCTGGTTACACAAGGTAATTTCGATTGCGATTGGTATATCCCGGGGTATTTGTCGAGTACAGCTTGGTACAAGGGGTCTATGGCGTGCTTAATCGTGACTGGGGATAACCTGCAACCAGAACAAGGAGTTACGCAAACGGACAACTTAGTGTTTCCGTCTATTAACCTTCGTGAGCGTGTGTCGATGAGTAGATTGTGGTGTTGTAACAGGTCAATACCAATGATTGGCATAGAGACATCTGCAACCACGAAAATCCAGTGTATGGGTTTACGTAAACCCACGTTAAGGTAGACGTACCTTTTACCGTAAGTAGCGATCGGCTTTCCGTTTGCCGCCTGTAAACTTAAAACAGACTCGCGAAGTCTGTCGTCGAGATTTGCTGGAAGAACGCTAACTTCTGCGCCAGTGTCGACGAGGTAGCGAACTTTCGTAGTTACATCCGTGACATATAAGAGGCGGCTGTGTTCGCCGGCTACGGTTGCCGTTAACGCGTGCCGGCTGGGAAGTTTCCCGAAATCTTATTCGTGTCAGTCGATTTTGAAGTCGGATAATTGCAAGGTTTCCTGCAGTTTCTGGAAAACTTACCGTACTGGTTATGATACCAGCACCAGTCGGGATTGTCTGTCTCTCGTGGTCGAGAGCCAGATCGCTTACGTGAGGCACTTCTACGCGGGGTTTTTGACCGACTACGGTCATTGCGAACTCTAAGATATCGTGTAAGCGTGTGACATAGTTCGGCCATGTCAGTCGAGGTCGATTGGGGTTTTTCTTTGACGGAAAAAACCTCGGCCTTAGAAGATCTAGTGATTTCCAAGATTCGATCGGCAGATGCAGCTAGTTCATCTATGGCATTGTTTTGAAATGAAACAAGCACTGCCTGCACCTGTTGAGGGAGTTTAGACAAGAAAAGTTGTCTAAATAGGCCATCATCGAAAGTTCGTTGGCCGATGACTTCTCTCATTCTAAGCAACATGTCCGTCGCAGAACCATGTTGCAAGTCGATATTGTTAAGGAGTTGGTCTAACCGTTGTCGATCAGTTAGGTCTCCTCGTTTTAAAATCGATAGCTTAAGCGATTCGTAAGGTTCGGAAACATCACTAGTAAACATACTAGGTGTTACGTACCTGTTAAACTCGCGCGGTAACGCCTTAACTACCGCGAGGAAACGTGTGCGCGAGTCCGTGATTCCGTGCATGCAAAAATCGGCTTCTGCATAGCAGAACCAGGACTCGATATTGTCGGGCCAAAATGGCGTTAACTGAATCGAAATAGGGGGAATAGACTTTAACTTAAAAACCTTGGGTGAGTGTTCCGTCATAGTAATATAGCTAACGAAAATGTCTAATTAAAATATATCCGGAAAAAAAAAATTCGCGAAAAAAGTATATCACAATATATAAAATTCAAATAAAGAATAACAATGAATAATAATATTCCAAAATGGAACAGACTCACAGTATATTGACTTGGTGTACCAGATCACGTCGGGTTCACCAATGATGATGCAACGGATATTCTAGTTTTACAACTAGATACCAGTAGCACCTTCTAAATTCGGTTGTTACCAGTCAGATAGAAAATCAGAAGTCAAACGAGAAGAGGCAGGAAAGATATATTTGATTCGTTACCAATATATCGAGGACTTTTTCTATGAGCTGGCTAATGAAACGTAGGAGCTGTGTCCCACGCAGTATTGAAACGTGATCTGGTGCGGATGCATGACCGAAAGCCTTCAGCTAAACAAGTCCACTTAAACAACGTGGTCAGCATCCAATGTCGAACACTTAATGAGCTATTGATTTTGGGGAATTATTTACAGCTACACTATCATCAAAGATGTCAACAACTCGAATTAGAACCTCCTTGGATCAGACGTACGAAATTAAACCTTGTCTTGATCTACCGGTTTATTCATGGCATTTCATGCTCTTCGACATCCATATATTTTTATTCTATGATGTAACCCCACAATCTACGCAATAAGAAAAATATTCCAGCGATTCCAAGAACCCACACAAACTTACGAAAGAATTTTTTCGTTATTCGCTACTGAACCATGTGGAACAGATTGTCAGTGAACCTCCGTTGCAGTGAAACTACAACCCGGTTCAGAAGTCTCCTTGATGATTTTCTTTCCGAAAGTGGATTGTGTCACCTATTGAATATCAATTTGTTTAACAATTATTTATACAAACAACTAGTGGTCTTCAGAATTTCAGGAGACGTAGTCAACGATGAAAATACTGTGGATACTACAGAATCAAACGATTCCGACATCAGAATTCTTTAATAACAGAAACCTAAAGAAAAGAAAAAAGGTGTTAAGAGTTGAGAGTAAATTACATTAAAGCACAGCGAATGTCTAGCCGTGTGACTTCTAGGCTGATTATACAGAAGAGAAGAGTCTTACATTAGCTGTTTCGGGTTATGACGAGGATGCCTGGTTGAAAGCCTCCAGCTAGTTGTGTTCGTTTATACTAACATGGTCGACATCTATAAGCCACAGGGCTACTTATTTTGGTAGGCTACTCATAAAGGTATAAATGAATATTTTTCTTCATCGTAGGTGACCTTTTGAAATGGAAAAGGATATCATGAATTAATTGTTCTTTGAATGGTTTGTCTTTTAGAACGCGCCAGATCCTCGCACAACAGAGAATGTGATAACATATGCTCTGCGAAATAGCAAATTTTAGGTTCCTCTAAATTATAATGAGCTATCATAACAGAGTTTCGTTCAATTACGAAAGTTGTCACTATTTCAGCCATTCAATGACTTAATTACCCCAAAATAAACTCATCTTAGTAAGGTCAACTACCTGTTAAATTTGGAATGTATGTTGGGAGATACGCTTGAAAATGTGAATTAGTTTACACTTACCAGGTGGTTAACAGTGTGTCAATCTATGCTGCAAACAAAATTCGGTCGTTTCTGAAGAAAGATCAAGAAGTTCAGAAAGAATGTTATACTTACGAAGGAATATGTAGAATCAATAAGAAACACTGAATCCTAATCACATCATATTATACTGGACGTGTTACCTTGGAAGTTTGATTAGTGGAATTGTTTACCACGATGACTCGAATAAATCAGAACCAAAATATACAAGTCTGCAAGTATCTTCTCCCAGGTAAACAAGGGAAAATCAGTGGTGTTTTGTTTGGAAATTGCATATCGAAATGTGGGACCTCTAAACTGTCTAGTTAGAGGACAAGCGTTACAAGGCCCCATTTGCAACTCAGTATAACTGGAATAATCAGAATCAATTTTGAACGCTTGCAAAGCTGTGTTTTTGAGGATTACTTCTACACCACAATAATGACGAACAGCGAACAATTAATTACATAAGATCAGCACGAGCGTAAGCCTGATAATACAATGTTATCATTTCTTGAACTCCTCATTTAAATATAATTCTGCCCTTTTTCATTTTGTTCGCTAAAGCAGTACGATAGCTGAGCTATCAAAGAATCGTCGGATAGTGTAACCTCTAATTAATGTTACTTCAGATAAAGGGCTAAACCATTCATGTTTACTCTACAGCACATTGACACTAATAACTAAACCGAAGAAAAATTATTGTTACTAATAATAGTCCAAATTGATAGTGGATGAGATTAGGTCTCGCAGACGGATGACGAGCATGAGTGCTGTAATGCACGTGGTGTTAGTTCTAATGACTAATCAACGTAACCTACTATAGTTGGGAAATAACTGGGTGACAAGATCAAAACCATTCACTTAGTATCTTCACTACGTATATTAGTAATTGTGTGGCGCATATATATCTGGTGCCCCTTTGGACCAATATTTGTGTTCAAATAAATAAACTGCTGAACATTAAAGGAATTCTACATTCGTTTAGGACAATCTCTCCAAAGCAAGCCATGTTGAAGAACTCGGAAACCGAAATTACGAATGCTGTAAGGGAACTAGCCTCACCTAGGAAGCGTTAGTTTCCAGATAATCTATACAAACCTTAGTTTATAAATGAAATGAACCCAGGTAATGACATACTGCTGTTGATACCATTTAGTTGTCCGAACCGTAGTCATTGGTGTCTCAACTCCAGAACCAAAAGTTGAGAGCGCTTTATCGACATAATGCTGAGAATGGATATTGGAAACAGCAAATATCCCTATTTGGGACCGAATATACTTGCATTGTAGAGCTACTACTTACATCAAACCAAGTCAACATCGTTTTCATTACCAGGTGATTGATAAAACTACCTACCGTGCAACTTCAGTAAGAATCCTATTGGTTAGAACGACAAGGATGAAGAGAAATTAAAAGTCCGAAAAATTGTTTTATGTATATTATGTTTATATCACATACTGATATTGATAATAGCAATTCACATCAATAATATTAGAATTACAACGGTTTTTAAAGTGTTTACATATGATAAAGTACAATATCCAATTTCATCAACTTCAATAGTATGATTAAGATAGAAGCCTTCATGAAATTAAGAACTTCTTAATGTGTAGAAAATAAGCTCAGAAACACATACACAAACACTAAAGGATAATAAAGGATGAAGGCGCAATGAAAGTGATTAAAAAAAAGACACTAAGTTAAGTTTTACAAGATTACATGTATATTCAAAGAAATTAGGATGTTTTTTTTTTAAAATAGAAATCCAACTATGGAAAAGACAAATGAGTAAATTTTGCGGACAAAAAAATAATATAAATTCAGTTTTGTATATATGATAAATGAATGAATATACTCAGAATTAAACCGAAAGCGAAGGCATTGGAAAAGGTGGAGGTATAATAAATACCGGACTAGGATGTAAACGACGAGGTTAATGTAAAGATCGATTTGTTTAGTCGGGATGCTGTTGTGGAAAATTTTGAAATGAAGTTTTTTTTTAAAAACAAAAAAGCCTGTGATATAATAGACAGACTGCAAACAATTTTGATAGTGAAAATTATTAATAGTAATGAAATGAAACAAGATAACATTTAGTTTGTAATTTATGTAGCTGCCAAAGTTGTAGCACTTTGTGGAGTAGTATAAATTGTTCTAATTTGTCGATCATTTCCAGATATTGAATGCCCTTCAGGATTCATTCGAATTAAATGAGCACCATTGATTTCAACTTTGAAAGCTCTTGATACACCGGAATCAACAGAAAAAATTTGTTGAGAATTGAAATTTTCACCAACTGGTGTTGAAACGTAAATAGGTTCTAGGGGTGCATCATTTACAGTTGTAGTCAACGTTACAACCGGTTGTTCATGAACCTTGAATGGCAAGAAATAAAGATGATTAAAAATATTGAGCATAGGGTTAAACAAATGATTTCTTGATTGAAATATTTTCATTTAGAAAAGGTACTTTGTTGAATAATCTAATAAAATCTTAAATAATTGAAAACTGAGGACGAAACTCAGTTCATTCAATGAACTATTCCGTTACTATTTGATATATAATTAAAAGTTAAACATACAAAAACTAATACCCTGTGACATATGACTATCTTATCTATTTTAGATACGACTATGAAACATGATTTTAATTCCAGTTATTTAAATATGAGGACAACCATGCCCTTTTCAATGTTCAATAACTGCATGATTGATAAAAGTATAGCATATAAGAAGGAAATATATCGTGTTGATTAACCTGCAGTGGTAACAAATTAGTTAGTGGAAGGAGGAAAATATGAAAATCAATAGCTTAGTCATACTAATATTCACATCTAAGGAAAAGTGAATGTTTACACTAGAAATTCTAACTCGTACCTGTTTAACTGATACAAAATGAAATTTGGTGAAAAAGTCAGATGGTAATTTCAAGTATTCACAAGGGACTTGACGCTTAAAGTAATGTATAGTAATCTGTATGTAATCATTGATAAAATTTCATCAGTTCATGTAAGATTAAGCGGAAGAAAATTAGATACAAAATAGAAATGTGTAGAAGTAAACAATAAAAGTAAAAATTTATTTATTTATTTAAACATATAAACATTGGTACAAGGAGGCACCAAATAGACATGCGCCACATAAATCATTCGACATGTGTGAGGACTGGAACACTACATGGGTGACCAGACAGAAGTAGGTCGTTTTATTAGGCGGCCATATCCGGAGACTTCAACCTACAGGTCTGATCCACAAAGCAGTAGAGCAACGTCACAAGATGCAGTTCCATGGTAGTCGGCAACTAACAATACGTTCACATAGGTCATTTGTTCTCTTAGGGTCCCGGAACCCATGTGCACCATTTATTTGAAATCAGGGTCTCCCAACTTCTCTAGGTGGATCCTTCGTACCCACCAATCCAGCATTCGTTTTTCGTACTGTCAATTTAGTAAAAAAAACACCCCTAGCGCGAGAACGCAGTGAGTAGGACTGTATACGCGTGGCCGTGTAAGAGCATTTCAGGAGGGAGAGCTGACTCTCCTAACCCTAGGAAGTACCATCGCATTTGAGAGCCAGAAGTGTGTTTATTACATGGCTTTCACATCGATAAATAACAGAGATTAGATATATGACGTTAACTTATGTGGGATGATACCCAAGTCACGCAATCCGCACTTAATTGGTTAGCAATTAGCGTCCGTAAGTATAGTATATGCTTTGCACCTTCCAAGTGCAAAGTACTCCTACAAGACTGACAGGACCTTGATCATGCACTCTCCCTTGGTAGTCAGCGGATAGAAGTAATCGAGAAGTTTGTGTATTTAGGTAACTACATAAGTGCTGATGGTGGCGTGAGTGATGCGGTCAATTCACGTATAGTGAAAGCCAGAGCGGCTTATGCCAATCTGGGCCATCTTTGACCCCTTAGTGATGTTAGTCTGGCTGTAAAAGGTCGGTTCTACAACGCGTCGGTGAGAGCAGTTTTTCTCTATGCTTGTGAAACCTGGCCTTTCCTTGTTGAGGGTGTTAGACAATACTCTGCGTTTGGTCATCGTTTCCTCCGAAAGATTGCTGACATCCAGTGGCAACACCACGTCAGTATTGCACAGGTTCGGCATCATGTGTTCAGGCAGAGCGACGATAATTCAATTGGTGTCGCCATCTTGAAACATCGACCTTGGTGGCTTAGACATGTTTTACGAATATCGTCTCAGAATTCCCCGTTGTGCATTATTTGCCGACGCTGGGACTGGTTGGAGAAAGCGGAGTGGTCAGTGTATGAAATGGTATCGTGGTATGAAAGAAAGCTGAAAAAGAATTGGCTCCTGTCGGTCCTTCACAATTTACTGGTTGGGCTCCTAGAGATGGTGCAACACAGTGGCAATTCTGTTGTTACTGCATTTTATTTTCTTCATAAAAACGGACGTAACTTCTTTACCTGGACGAATTTTTTCTGGTTGCATTTCTGCTAACTAAAATGCCTCTCCCATTATTACTATTATTTCACTATTATACACTAATTTCTGTTCGTTATTGTTCTCCATTTTCTTACAAACACTTTACATTCTCATTGTTATTGTGTGGAGTATATGTATTTGGTGCCCATTTGTAACAATATTTATGTGTTCAAATAAATAAACGTATGTAAAGCATGTTCCCTCTACTTAATTCAATGAAGGTTTAAAGTTTGACTGAGAGATTTACCACATATATCTATCTATTTGAATGCTAACAATATAAAAATCATTAAAACTTACTGTCTGATCAACCATACGAGGATTGCTAATCAAAACATATTGTTTGCCATCTGCTGAACCTCGTACAACAGCATATCGATAAGGAGTTGCAGTATTAATTGTTGTATCTAAGATAAAAAAACATATGCATTTTAGGATTTATGAATTCCAAAACTAAGTTTTGCAAACAAATAGAATAGGTATATCAGTGTTACAGAAAAATCGTGTTTTTTTCCATACAAATTGTTGACTGGTTCAATGATTATTATTATCAGAAGGGGTTTTGTGGAGATTTAGTATTTTCATAGTTGAAGGCGTGAGTCAATTGAAGCTAGACCACCAAGGAAAACCTGGAAGTACTGGATGGCCGTTTCGTCCTATTGTGGGACTCCCCAGCAGTGCGCGTCCACGATCTCGCCTCGCGAGAGTCGAACCCAGGACCTATCAGTCTCGCGCCAGAGCACTTAAACAATAGACCACTGAGCCGGCATCCGATGGTATTTATATATAACTCCAACCAATCCAATGATTATTAATATTATGAGCAATAGTTTGAAAATAGTATGAGTAAAAAAAGAGGAACTGGCCTGATCGTTATCGTAGAAGTATGTTTATATAATATGACTTTCACATTGTTAAATAACAGAGATTAGATATAAGATGTTGGTTAATTAAATTCTGCAAATCCAAGAAAAGGATTTTCTCTCAAAACATATTTCACTGATCGAAAAGATAAATAAAGTGCTTGTCAAGCATAATTGAACAATGACATCAAACTTTTGTCTCAATGAAGGCAAACAAAACAAATAATATTTTTTCAGATGATTTATTATTTATTTATTTAAACACATAAACATTGGTTCAAAGGGGCACCAGATATATATATATGCGCCACACAAACCTCATTCGATTTGTGTGAGGGCTGTGATACTGTCTAGATGCCCAAACTAAAACAGGTGGTTTTCTTAGGGGACCACACCAGGAGCCTTTGACCTAAAGGTCTGATCCACAAGAATGTGGAGCATCGTAAGGAGATGCAGTCCCATGGTAGCCAGTGACCAACATTTGATTCATATGCCAATTGTTCCCTCAGGATACTGGAGCCCATGTGCACCATTGGTTTGGAATCAGGGTTTTCCAACTCCCCTAGGTGAACTTTCCGTGCCCACCAACCCGGTTAAAGCGCCGGACATTCGTTTTTCGTCCTCGCGATTTCGTAAACACCCCCGCCACGAGAAGGACTTCTCTGGCAGAGGCTATATACGCGTGGCCCTATGAGACCATTTGGAGAGGGAGAGCGAACTCTCCCCACTCTCGGCCGTACCAGGGCACTTGGGTGCTTGTTCAACATTGATACAACTGAAAGGTTAGTCGGAGCTATGGTAAGTGAATTATTTGTTTAACTAAGATCATATCACAGTTTGTTGTCAGGGTGAATGAGGCTACCTATAGGTGTTAATAATGTTCACACTCAGAGTCTTAGCCTCCACTTTCTTTACGTAGTTGAGTGTCATAAGTGTGGATAGTAGGTGAACCAGATTATAGTTCAAAAAAGTAGACTTCTTGAATTTATTCTAACAAACTGGCAAATACTTGCGATAAGTAGGTGCTATCTATTGGATTAGTACCTTAATTGGAATAGAATATTATCCTACAGAATAACCTTAATCTTTAATGAAATAGGATAACGTCAAAGCTTACTCTACACTGGATATGAAAAACTTTTATAAAGAACATCATCATTCATTATACCTTGTCTTTTTTTAAATCTGATAATGATGGATCAAATAGTACCATAGTATGAATTGTATCATAACTTTTTTTAGTTCCGACACAAGCACAATACCGAAACTAAAGATAAATTTAGCATACTTATTACATTAAATCAAAAGTTCTACCTTATATTATTTATTTATTTAAACACATAAATATTGGTACAATGAAGCACCAGATAAATATGCGCCTCACAAATCTCATTCGATTTGTGTGAGGGCTGTGATACTGACCACGTACCAAACTGAAGCAGGTGGTTTTCTTAAGGGGCCACACCCGGAGCCTTTGACCTAAAGGTCTGATCCACAAGGCAGTGGAGCATCGTAAGGAGATGCAGTCCCATGGTAGCCGGTGACTAACGATTGGTTCATACGCCATTCGTTCCATCAGTATACTGGAGCCCATGTGCACCATTGGTTTGGAATCAGGGTTTTCCAACTACCCTAGGTGAACTTTCCGTGTCCACCAACCCGGACATTCGCTTTTCGTCCTCTCAATTTCGTGAACAACATCTGTGGCACGAGAAGGCAGTGGGTAGGACTTCCCTGTCAGAGGCTATATATTCGCTGGCCATATGAGAGTATTTCGAGAGGGAGAGGTGACTCTCCCCACTCTCGGCCGTACCAGGGCATTTGTTACTTCTTAAAACCAAAAATATACATAATTCAAAATGTATTTGTTTTAGCAATAAATAACGGAAACATGAATTCCATCAGTCAGTTAGCCACAACGTAGGACCAGGCACACATATGCATCGTTCCAAATTGCCTTACCTCATTAGCACAACAAGATGAACACCGGATTCATAGAAGTAATTAATTTAGTGGTGGTAGTAGTATATAAATTATAGGTTGTATATAAGGATATGGTATAGGAAGGAGGAGAGATATGAAGCAATTTTAATCTCAAGGTTTAAGGGAAGATAAAGAGTGTATACACCTACGCCATTATGATCGATTCTGAGCCATGTCACACAGTCTCCGACAATTGTTTACAATAGTCACGCGGACCCCAACCAGGTAGTTTGCATCTGCCAACATGGCTCAGACTAGAAGTTAGTGACTTCAAACACTGATGCCATGTTTTGGTTTGGCCGCCCCTAACTCCTTTCCAACCATTGCCAATACTAGTCAGCATAGCGCGTTGTGTTAATCGGTGTTCAGGCATACGCAACACGTAGCCTAACCATCTCAGTCGATGAAGATTCATCACCTCATCAACTGATTTACCATCATTTCCTAATACCCTGCGTCTAACCTCACTATTACTTACCGGTGATCCCAGCAAACGCGAGCAATATTTCTAAGGCATCTGTGGTCAAATACTAGTAACCTACGAGTATCTTCTACTCTTAATGGCCATGTTTCGTAGCCGTAAAGTAGAACAGAGCGAACTGCTGCGCAGTATACTCGTCCTTTAATTGGTATACGGATATCTCATCTTCGCCATAGGTGAACTGATACGTGTGAATTATAGTTGAACTATAATCTACATTAGCTAAAAATCAGAGAACATACAACATTTGAACTGAAAACTACTCTGTTAAATGTGAAGATATACTTTGATTTTATATGCTATTAAGGGTGTGTATCGGTGAAGAGTTTTGTACCAGAACGTAAAAGATGATCAATCCTTTTTTGTTTTTATTAGTGACCAAAGTCTGTGGTGAAAATTACCTACAAAGATAAACATTTCTTTGGATAGTGACTAATGGTGGAATCCAGGATATGCATTTCGTCCTGCTCAGGGACTCGTCAGATGAGTATGTGGTGTCTAGCCTTATGTTAAACCACATGGATTATTCTAGCTTCCGGACAGATTGACTTATTCATTCTTTTCAAGTCACATTTCGACCTCGTTAATTATTCACTTATTAACCTTCACTGTCTTTAGATGAATGTATGCGTGTGAATTGTTTATTCTACTTATCACATGTATGTAACTTATTTCTGTCTGATTATGAATATTAAGTCATGCTTGATCAAACAGCGTTGGCTCACTCATCTCCGCTTCGCTTTGCCGCTTTTCATTTTGAATGTCTGGATAAACGAGCGCTTGGAATAAATTCATCCAACGAAACCCGTGTTTGGCTTCTTATTACTACCGTGACACAAAGAGGGTTAGCCTAGACAATATACGGAGTTACATGGAAGATTTATGTACGTAGAATATTCACACGTTTATTCAAACTAGTCAGATACAGGGCCTATAAGTGTATCAGTATTCCGGTGCTTATGTTTAAGCTGAGATTCTAACCCAATAGCTTTTAATTCAAACTAATCAATCCATCAAATTAGACTGAAGCATCCTTGTTGGAAGGTGCAGAATATCTGGACGGGGTCCCCATGACTATTGTAACCAATGGTATGGGTGGATTAGCTTATATCGGTTGCAATGGGACAGATGTATACAATCTTTCCTTATATCTTGAGTTTCAAAATCATGTATTTTTTAACTGAATGAATTCATACTGTATATTCAAATGCTTTCTACTACCACTACTTCTGCTACTTAGTGATTTGTTTTCCTAACTTAATCTCGCTGTGGTGATGTGGTGTAGCACCTTTGATCAATGCATATACGTCCCAGGTTATACGTTGTGTGTGGCCGACTGTTTGAGACTGTTAAATTGACGTTTTTAACTTTGGCGAGAAAACAAGAATCCTTTTCAATAAAGATAAACATTTGTTTAAAAACATTTTTTCAAACAGAAACAATACATGCAACATACTTGTTGGAGCTGGACTCTGGTGATGAGTTGTCCCTGAATTCTGAGTGGTATTTGACACTGCATTATTTGGAGTATGTGATGCGTTTCTGTTGTGAGCAATAAGACGCTTACCAAACAAACGATCACTAGCAGTTTGATTAAGATTTAAACGATCTGAAGTTGATGTAGTAGTAGAAGTAACTAATTGTAATAATTTAGTAGATGTGTTGGTCAGATTTACAGAAGGTCCAGACTCTTCCGTAGTTAATGAACTGACAGGTTTCTGTAATTGTCCAGTACTGCCAGGACTAAATACACTAATATTACGACTAGAGGATGTTGACAAATCAACATCATTATCGGACGTTTCGAAAACTGAAAATTACAATAGTAACATGAGAATTTAAGGAAAGGAACCATAAACATTGAAAATTACCATTTGCTAAAATTTTGTGATTAAAGTTAAAACAATTATTGTGGAAAGTCATTGTGTCATTATTTCATTTATCATTGAAGAACTGATAGCTATTTAATTGTCGCTTTATATAATAAACAATACATATTAAGAAGACTGATCCAAAAGAATGATCCTAAAAACCATTCGGACGATATTTAGATTGTCAGCAGTAGTGCAATCGAGGGCCTATGTTTCATTCTATTTGGGGATCGTCAGCTGGATGTAGTATATGGGATTCCCGGTGTTGATGTTCATACTGCAGATTCCCAAATAGAATGAAATGCATGTTCTGGATTCTTCAGCTAGTCAAAACCTATTTATTCCAAATAACTTTTGACATTACAGGTACATCGAGGTAATCCGAGCAGAACCCACATATGCTCCCTGGGGGCAGCGGCTTTGCCCCCAAATGGTACGGCCGAGAGTGGGGAGAGTTCGCTCTCCCTCTCCAAATGCTCTCACATGGTCAGCGAATATATAGCCTCTGACAGGGAAGTCCTACCCACTGCCTTCTCGTGCCACAGATGTTGTTCACGAAATTGAGAGGACGAAAAGCGAATGTCCGGGTTGGTGGACACGGAAAGTTCACCTAGGGGAGTTGGAAAACCCTGATTCCAAATCAATGGTGCACATGGGCTCCAGTATACTGATGGAACGAATGGCGTATGAACCAATCGTTAGTCACCGGCTACCATGGGACTGCATCTCCTTACGATGCTCCACTGCCTTGTGGATCAGACCTTTAGGTCAAAGGCTCCGGGTGTGGCCCCTTAAGAAAACCACCTGCTTCAGTTTGGTACGTGGTCAGTATCACAGCCCTCACACAAATCAAATGAGATTTGTGAGGCGCATATGTATCTGGTGCTTCATTGTACCAATATTTATGTGTTTAAATAAATAAATAACAAAAAATGACTAGAAAGCAGTCCCTAATACTTACGGAAGAATAATTCAAACTATTATTGATATTACTATTAACAAGATAGTTGGGGAAGTCCTTTTATGTAACGTTTAGTAACACAACAGAAATCCGACTGACCTATTAACTTATATCACAATAGTCATCAAGGGATTAAAACTTTATGTTAACTTTAAAAATAGTCATTCAATATTCTTCAAACTGTAAAGCCTTTAGTTTTTTCTGACAAAGTCTTCTCCTTTATTGTAATAAGAAATCCAGTTGTAATTAATTTACTGAATAACCATTTCTATCTGTTCAACTACATTGTCAAGTAGGTTTTTAATTGAATGACTTATTTTATTTAAAATGTTTATATCCACACCATGAATCTGGTTGACGAAACCCAAGTAATTACTTTATATTAGAGATTGGTGTCATATTTTGATCCAGGTATTATGAAATGTTGGGTGGGAAGTGTTTTGACATAGATAAAAATATATGCATGACCAAGTAACCTCAATTAGTTTATGCTTAACGCCAGTTAACTGACTGTTTTTCTTTCCTTTTCGAACAATTTCCACCTAACCTCAACACTACTATGAAGTTGATAATTCCAATGCATATGACCCATGAGTTAAGTAAAGCAGTGGTCGATTATATATAATCCAAAAAATTTTCCGCTCCAAATAAAGGTGAAAAATGTCTAATGATCATTTATCATCTTGATACATGTCGTATTAGATATATACTTATTTCATTGTTAAAAAAACTATTAAGCCCTACCTGTCGGTCGTGAAGTGACCAACGAATTTGAGGTTGTTGAGTTGACTGTTCCTAGTGTTCGCTTTAAAATAGTAGGACGTCGTCGAGAAGAAACTGAAGTAAGGGTAGAATGAGGAACTGACATGACAGGTTTCGTCACAGGAGTTGTGATTGAACGTGTTGTATTTGGCGCCATAAAAACACGAGAGATGATGGGTTGTTGAACGACCGAAACTAGAAGAGAAAATAGAAAACTATTATGAATCAAATACACTAATGATTACTGTGCTAATATGACCAGGTTAAAACACATACAACGTGAATATTCCTAAAACAACTTTAAAGCAAAGGCTTTAAAGAACAATTGTTTTATAGTATAAGAACTCTCGTCTAAATTAGAGCGAATAGTTTCACAGTATTTGATCGCCGAGTTAATGTAAGACATTAAATAGGAATAATATATTTGTAAAATCTCAGCGAATGAATTTGTAGTAAATCCAACGTTTCGCCTGGCAATCTGGTCCAAGCTTTTTCAATTCCTTGAAAAAGCTTGGACCAGATTGCCAGGCGAAACGTTGGATTTACTACAAATTCATTCGCTGAGATTTTACAAATATATTATTCCTATTTAATTGTTTTATAGGTTTTAAAAATAGACCAGACGTTTCTCTTTTTAGTATTGAAACTTTAATTGCAATTCGTATGATAGTTGAAGTCAATGACATTTGCCTAGAACTAACAGTCGTGTGTTATCATGAATTACAGAGAGCATACCATTATAATTGTCGTATGTAATAATTTTTTTCTAGTGAAAGTTACAATATTACGATTACGTAAATTGAATAACTGGATATTATCGGTTGATCGATGCATGACAGACGGACATTTGTCTTCCTATTACACTCTATTGGATCGACACTAATATCTCTGTTACAACTGTATTTTAAAAATGTAGTCTGGTTATGTAGGTACCAATAGACTGAGTTTCTCAAGGACTAATCATGCTTCGACAAAATCGTGAATAGAGTTCATCATTATACACTACATTCTTTGATTATGAGAAGGGATTTGATAGTGTGGACAGGCAAACTGTGAAGTTCACTTCATCCATATGAAGCACTTGAGAGCATCGTCCCCATCATACGGTGCTTCGAAATATTCTATCGGTAGAGAATTTTAGCGAATTAAAAATTGGAATACATTATTTTAAAAAACTATATGAAATATAGTTTACAATTACCTGGGCGGGTAGTAGACTGTGTAAGAAGTGATGGCAATAAGCCTGACGAAACTGTTGTATTTCCCTTTGATACATTTGGACTATCAATACACACTGGAACTTGATTAACAGAACTAATGGATGTTAATGCTAGAGACGATCCAGAAGATAAAATTTGATGTGAATGATCACTTATTGAGTGAATTTCTAATTCCGAATTGTTCACAACATAAGTGTTTTCTAAGGACTGATTAGATTCACCGAGCGATTGTGAATTGTTACCAGACAAAACAGAGCATATTCCAGTTGTTAACACATCTCCATCATGGCCAATATCTAAGTCTGATAACGACCTGCTATATACAGTATTTGTAACCACCGATGGCGATGTGAAGACAAACGGGCTACAATTAATAAACACAAGTTTAATTATCAGATGATGATCACATGATATCCTAGTATTTGCAGTGACTAAAATATTAAACTTACCTATTATCAGAACCTGTAACTAACATAGTTGGTGATGCATTACTAGGTGCTGCGGTTGTAGAAGTATGAGTGGTTTTTGTTCTTAGCACTTGCATTGGTCTAACAGGAGATTTTCGTCGACTGCTACCTGAAGATGAATTACAAGATAACATTGCTCCAGTATCTGTCAATGTAGAGACTAATACACCATCAGAACTGGTAGCAGTGTTTGAGCCCGTAATGATGGAGAGTTCTGGAGCAAGTAAATCCTCTTCCAGTTCCTCTTGAGACTGTTGAACTCGTCTATTAACGAGTCCACGCGATTCTACAGACTCCAGATCATCTTCGTGTATAGCTGTTTTGTCTAAACTGGTCCTTAAATGTGGGAATTGATCGACACTCGAACTAATGCAAAAATCAAGTATATTAGTGGTGTGTCGATCAATAGGAGGAGAAATCTCATCGGAACGAAACACAGTTTGCCGTAAAAATGAATTGGTAGGCTCTGCGAAAAAAACAAAGCAAACATCATCGTAAAAAGGTAAGAAAACGTTTACTGAGGAGTCATTTGAAATTGTAATAAGTCATTCGACTCAAAGTTCTAATGCTTTTAAATTGTTTAATTAACATTGCCTGTAGCGCTTTCAGAGTTACTGCCGGTCCCAAGATCGGGGTAAAAGAGGAGGATTGGGTATGGGGTCAATAACCACATCCCATAGAAAACAACCTTGCTAAAACACGTCAACCAGAATAAACATATTAAACCATTGAAAGTCTGACCTATTAGTTGAAGGATTTTCATTCAGAAAAATTATGACGTCTCATCCTGAAAGCCGAGATTCTTCGGAAGTCAACAGGTCGGAGCCCGCCTCTGACAGTCAGAACAAAAATTGTTATTGTTAGATGGAACGTCCAGACTATGTGGGAGACAGGGAAGACCAGTCAAATAGCGACGGAAATGGGGAGATACAAAATAGCAGTACTTGGGATCAGTGAAACCCGATCCAACGTCCAAGACACCTGTAGATATTATTGATTGGCACACCCACCAGCTTCACAGCTTGTTCAACTCATATTATACTTCTTGCTGCCAGTGACCCCAATGGGTTAAAAGAGCTTTCGACAGTTACAAGAGTAGTAGTTCCCCTGAGTAGACCGACATTGTTATGTCCCAATAAGAATAGTGGACGGTAACTTTGGGATCCGTTTATGGACCAATGCTAATTGTATATTTTTATTGTATAATTGTTAACTAAACTATTCATATTCGCAACCCTCTTATTATAAGCTTTATTTTGACCCATAGACTATTACTAAGCGATTTACCGTTCTTGAGTTATCCCCAGTCTATTAATTACTGCCTCCCACATTCACTGACACATTTGTCTGAATCTTGCACAGATGTTATTTTCTATTTTATGGTACGATGTGATCTATTTGATCGGTATATAAACTCAATGTGTTTGAAATATAATGATTCATATTGCAGAAGCTGAGATTGGTGTTCTGGACTTAACTGGTTGGGCTAGGCAGATAACAAGACCGACAACTGCTCTGGACTGCTCGTACAGCTTTCGTGTGTCATTGTTCCGATTGATAATTCACTGCTCTCTAATTGGCGGCATCGTCACGTCATAATTAACTAGGCACACATGGTACAAGTTATAACAGATATGCTTCAATGAGCAGTAGAAACCTCGTGTTTATAACTAGGGCGTTGCGCCAAGCTGTAAGCGACTTGTCATTTTTGTGGCGTCATGCAACTGCAGCCGGTTGTCATCAAACTTTTGCGTAGGTTGATAACTAGCCTTAAACCTAGCTCAGTTTGATATCCAGTTGCGACAGAATCTGCAACCAATATTCTGACATCGATCCATTTGGGGGAATGAATTTGTTGGTCACCCAAACGTAAGATTAGCGCAAACAAGGGGGCGATCATATTTCAGACAAGTAATCCAAAAGAAGCGGCAGTTTTGTATACAACCGTGCCAGCGGTAGTAAGCCGCGATGTGATTAATCTGAAATGCAGACGGAGAACGCCAGACAGCACATCGGCGATGACTGTACAGATAGTTAGCGCTAGTAAGAAATAGGCTGTAGACCGCACGAATTTGCAGCAGACGGTCACCGCCATCTGACCTGCGACGAACAAGTCCAAATTGGTCACTCAAACGACTCCCTTCCCTTCCTAAACACCCGACTTGTGTATCCAAGTCGGCTAGTATTACAATATTTGTCGGATACGCTTTCTAGAGAACACTCAACTGGTGGTAGAACTCATTCTTGATCGCATACAGACTGAAATCTGTTGGAGTAGGCGGAGATAACGAAAGAACATCGTTTCTCACAACGGTTCGTTTCCAGTTTGAAGGAACTTTCTATTCTAACAGCACGTAATCGACCGTTAATGGGACCCAATTGATTAGTGCTGTCAGCCCTGAAACTTAAAACAACACAGGCACCAGCAGAACCAGACGAAGATGCAACAGGGTCCCCGGATAAACGCACGTGGAACAAGATTTTTAAAGTGGCAGATGGAGAGTAAATCCGCAGTACCCGCCTACATCACAAGTGAAGCGAGTTGGCAAAGTTCAATCAAGCTTTCAGAATCCGTTTTGAGATTTAGTCACACACTGAAACCTCCAGGGCAGATGTGATTTTCAAGACAAGTGAAGTGGTCAACAGACCCAACTTTACTCCATATGATCAAAACGGGGTCAGTAAATATATGACGATATTCACTTAGTTACGGTCAACTAACATTCTAAACAACTAACCTTTTTGGTTACAGCTTGGACTGAGTACACGTCTAAGGTTGGAACGATTTTTTATTCTAGATGATCCCGATCTTCCATGATTTTCCATTGTATCGGGGTTTCGACTGTGAATAAGTTGCTCTGGTTTCTGAAGTTCACTGAATATTTCAGAATAAGTTGATATACACGATGCATCGGGATACTACCAAAAAAATGAAAAAGTTGAACGACATTAAGAATCTAAGCACCAAAACCACACTACTGTAACTGAGATTAAGTCAAACAAGTCGCCCAAAACATTTGTTCCTACACATATCGGAGTTGTCATAGGTTGGGGAAAGTCCGGGTCTGCCAAACTGAGACATACCACCAGCTCATAAATTCACTGACTGTTGGTCTGAACCGCGCGGAAAGATTTGCACTACCTGGTTAAAATTTGTACGACAATCATCAGTGGTTGGCAAAAACGCGTTACCGTGGTCCAGATACATTCATTCCCTGTCCTCCTCTGAGTCTTCAATCTCATTAATACTTTGTGTTTCTACTTCTCGCTTGCACTCACTCTTTTCGAATCATATTTTTATGTTGTTTCTCAACGTAATTCATGCTATTATAGTTATTTCGATTTCTTTTCTACCCGTCTTTTTAAATTCAACTTATTGTGCTGTTGTCAAACAACTTTGACTGATGTATACTTGTGCTTAGAGTCCTACAATGTTTATAACCAATGAAATAGTACTGTCCAAGGGTCATGAAATTGTTACCCCTTCAGGTTGGAAATCAATCTAATAATCCATTAAATGCAACAGAGATAAAGTAACATCGTTTTCAGGAAATTAGGTGGATTCCAAACGTAATTGTTACAGTAGTGTTTCAATGTATGATCGTCATATTTGTAACTAAGGTCGGTTTTGCCATGTGTAGTATTCGGGAAATCAAATTTCAACATTAGGGTGAAGATCAAAATGTGAAATTAGGTATAATAAATATAGCTTGAAAGATAGGAATGAAATCAGGAAATGAAATAGCACTGATGTATCTATAATTGTTTTATGACGACATCTAGCCTCCCCAGTTATAATTTACGATCATATTGAAGACCTCAACTGCTTTACACCCTCATGCCCTGGTACGGCCGAGAGTTGGAAGAATCAGCTCTCCCTCTCGAAGTACTCTCACATGGTCACGCGTATACAGTCACTGAAAGGGAAGTCCTACTCACTGCCTTTTCGCACCACAGCTGTTGTTTATGAAATTTAGAGGACGAAAAGCAAATGTCTGACGCTTTAACCGAGTTGGTGGATACGGAGAGTCCACCTAGAAGAGTTGGAAAACCCTGATTCCAAACCAACGGTGCACATGGGCTCCAGTGTCCTGAAGGAAAAAATGGCGTATGAACCAGTTGCTGGTCACCGGCTACCATGGGACTGTACCTTGTGACGTTGCTCTACTGCTTTGTGGATTAGACCTTTAGGTCTAAGGCTAGAAGTGTGGCCCCTTAAGAAAACCAACTGATTTGGTCTAGGCACCCGCGTAGGATCACAGCCCACACACAAATCAAGTGACTTGTGTGGCGTATATGTATTCGGTGCTCCTTTGTACCAATATTTGTTAAATAAATAAATAAACTACACCCTCAGATAACGGAGATTCGCAGCTAATGACAATGGTCTACCTGGTAGTTAGCTATGGGCCACACGTTATGTAAGAGCTCGTGGTATTATCTGGATCCCTAACACGCAGTAAAAAATGATGATTCAAACTTGCGACTCATTGGTTGAAATGCGAGTAATTTAATTAGTAAGCTATCGCTGCAAAGAATAATAGCGGTACAGAGTGCACATGTATGGCGTACAACAATAACATCACCAACTACCCCTTTGCCAATAGTATCTTCGAGAACCAGAGGAAATTGAAACGTAGATATTCAGTAACCCAACGTTCAGAAGTGTAACACGGAAGTGAGCTAATGGTTAAGTGCTCAACCTATAGCCACTAAGTTTGGGGTTTGAAATCTAGTCCCAACTACTTTTCTGCAGTTTACAAACTAAGAATTATAGTTCTTGATTATGAACAAAATGAATTGGTATTTGGAACTTCTAAATGACAGTTGACAATTTTGTTTTGAAACCACCACATATTCATGTTCTGTCTTTAGTAAAGTAAAGTTAGAAAAATATGCACAGCAGTTTGGGTTCAAAAAATCTGAAGGCTATACAAGAACAGCATATGTATGACTATGGAAGTTGTGTTTACTACATTCTGATAAAGCTAGCTATAATCAGCATGAAAACTGGTAGAAATCTCTCAATTATCCTGTCACAATAGGGGAATATGAAATCAACTAAACAAATATTAAAAGAGTAGAAATAGCAGTATTGTTTGCAGTGAGGAAAACAGAACGGCATAATTCGAGAAAATGGATTCTCTGAATAAAGAGCACAAATGATTTTGAAGATCACAATCTAAGGGGGAATTAGTGGGTACATCTGAGCCACTATGACAAGTTTTGAGCCGTCACCTATTTCCACTTGATGATAGTTATCATGTAAATTACAACCAGGTAGTTTGCACCTACCAATACGACCCAGGTCGACAGTCAGTACCTCTAATAAGTGGACCAACGTCTTGGCTGGTGATTCGAGCTTTTTTCCGGCTCGCTTCTACTCTAGCGACAACGCATGTCAATATAAGCAGTGATTAGCTGTTTTTAACAATAATCCCAGTTACAGTGGTCAATGGGTGAGTGTACTCAACAGTCTGCTCTGTATTACAATGTCCCTATGACAATAAGACATTTGCAAGCTGCAGGTTTTTGATCAAAGACGCCTTCAAAACATTGCTCGTATATCACTCGACAACTAAGTAACCAACACGGTCGTTAGAATTTTTCATACTCCGGTGTATGTAAGTACAAGTTCTACATTGTCTGACTGATGTTGCAGATGACAAGCCTTAATAACCGTTAAGCAGACTACTGAGTGCACACCCATCGGTTGGAGACATTCCGCGTAAGTCACGTGACAACATAGAAGGATTAACCGTAAATATAACCATATTCTGTCGCGTCATGTGTAATAGTTTGTAGTACGTTTGCAGACTGATTACACCATTCGTCAAGTTTTAGAGCACAGACACGCTTATCGGCGTCTGACAATGATAGTTTTTCTTGACTTGAAAGCAGCATTTGACTCTGTAGACCGAGAGGTTTTGTGGCAGTGTGTCATTAAAAGATGTACCTGAGAAGTACATAAACCTTGTGAAGGCTCTTTACTCGAACACTACCAGTCGAGTGAGAGCTTATGGCGAACTATCATATGATTTTACAACCTCAAGTGTTGTCCGTCAAGGCTGTCCACTATCCCCACTTTTGTTTAAATTCATTATAAACCTGTTGCTGGAAATAACACTCTCGCCGACTGAATTTACAGGAATTGATCTCCTACCAGGGGGACCACTAAGCGATTTAGAATACGCAGATGACATAGTCCTGTTTGGTGAAGACGCTGGCAAAATGCAGAGTCTTCTGTTGGAACTCAGTAATAATGCCAGGATGTTTGGGATGCGATTCTCCCCATCCAAATGTAAATTGTTACTCCAGGACTGGCCTGCATCAACACCTGAACTAAGGATAGGGAGTGAAGTAGTCGAACGCGTCGACAACTTCACTTATCTTGGAAGTCTGATCAGCCTTAATGAGTTGGTGTCTGACGAAATCTCAGCACGGATTCGAAAAGCTCGTTTGGCTTTCGCCAACTTACGTCACCTATGGCGAAGACGAGATATCCGTCTATGAATTAAAGGACGAGTATACTGCGCAGCAGTTCGCTCTGTTCTACTTTACGGCTACGAAACATGGCCATTAAGAGTAGAAGATACTCGTAGGTTACTAGTATTTGACCACAGATGCCTTAGAAATATTGCACGCATTTGCTGGGATCACCGGGTAAGTAATAGTGAGGTTAGACACAGGGTATTAGGAAATGATGGTAAATCAGTTGATGAGGTGATGAATCTTTATCGACTGAGATGGTTAGGCTACGTGTTACGTATGCCTGAACACCGATTACCACGACGCACAATGCTGACTAGTGTAGGGGATGATTGGAAGAGAGTTAGGGGCGGCCAAACCAAAACATGGCATCAGTGTTTGAAGTCACTAACTTCTAGTCTGAGCCATGTTGGCAGATGCAAACTACCTGGTTGGGGTCCGCGTGACTATCGTAACCAATGGTCGGAGACTGTGTGACATGGCTCAGAATCAATCATAATGGCTTAGGTGTTGCCTGACCGTTGCTGCTACCTTGACGTGGTGGTCGGGCTTGCCTATCGTGATGAAGCAATCGAGCTATGCTGGCTGGAACAATCGTTCCTCAAGGTCCTACCATGCCAGACAGGTCGGTTGGAGAGCGGTGAGACTAAAAGCAGCAAACCCAAGGTCCGAAGGCGAAGTCGTACTGTCGACTGTACAGAAGTGTGACGGCAGTAAGGTGTTTCCTTCAGACAACCAGCATGACAGCGATGCTGCCTTCCCACAAGGAGGGGTGGGGTTAGAAAAGGTCGGCCCTAAAAATGCACACCTCGCCTTATCCCACGGATATCCGTCTCCGGCGGTAAGGTTTTTTTTGAAGAACGGAGCCAACACAAAAACTACCCACAAAAAGGTCGTGTGTGACCGACCTCACGCTCTCAGGTCATTAAGACCACTTCTAACCCAATTTCCTTTTCAGGTACCCCCAGGAGAACCCTTCCACGGTGTGGGCAACCGGGAAGTGATAACTGCCCTCATACCTCTAACAGCACTCAAGACCACCGTATTCATAATCAATCTCCTTCAATTCCTACTATTCCTTCTACCTTGACTTTCAACACTAAACTTCCTGTTCCGGTTTCCTCCTCAAGTGTCACCATGGCCAACGATTCTAGTGCGCGAAACGCTGTCCCAGGTCTACTTAAACCTCGCTCCAAACTACACATTGGAGCCTTCAACGTACGTACTTTAAGTCAAATCGGTCAACAGGCCTCCTTAGCTAAAACCCTAGAATCTCGTACCATTGATGTATGCTGTCTCCGAAACACGCATACAGCATCCCAGTGTGGTCATTCACTTGACCTCACCTCACCAAAATGGACAGCCAACGAAATACACCCTCTGTGTATCTGGCGACCCGTTGGCTAGTTCTCGCGGACTTGCAGGTGTAGGCATAGCACTAAGTACAAGGGCAGAACAGGCACTATTAGAATGGATCCCCGTTAACAGTCGCCTGTGTGCTGTCCGGCTGAATGGCTCCGTAAGAACTCGGAAGGATAGGGACACACGTCGTTGCCTTTTCGTCGTTTCTGCCTACGCTCCCACCGACTGCAGCCATGATGAAATGAAAGATGACTTTTACAGAAAGCTCTCTGAGCTTCTTCAGAAAGCTAAGCGCTCAGACATAGTACTCATAGCGGGTGACTTTAATGCCCACGTAGGCAGCTTGAATCAAACAGAAAGACATTTAGGTGGGTGTTTTAGTATTCCGGCTCAACGAACCGATAATGGTGATCGTCTGTTGCAACTATGCTCAGACAATCGTTTATTTCTAGCAAGCACTAATTTTAAACATAAGGAGAGACATCGTCTAACATGGCGACCACCTGCACCAAACCAACGATGGACTCAAATAGACCATATTGTCATCAGTCATCGTTGGAGAGGCTCAATAGAAGATTGTCGCTCGTATTGGAATACTTGTTTAGACTCTGATCACGCTTTAATACGAGCACGCATTTGTCTGCGCCTCAATGGACGCAGGAAAAGTACACTAAGAAGACCCATTAGGATTGAACTGGAGGACGAGAAAGCCAAATGCGAATTCCAGAAACAACTGGGTTCACATCTAGGCAGTTCTGTAAACAAAACTGACACAGATGCTGCTTGGAAAGACATACGAACAGCTGTGGAAACAGCAGTTACATCTATTAGTCATTTAAACCATAGGGCTCCAAAAAACCAGTGGATTTCTTCTAAGTCTATTTCACTGATGGATTCGCGTAAACTCATCCCATCAGGCTCTGAACATGACGAAGAGCGTAAAGAAATTAGGTATAGATTAACTAAAAGTCCAAAGAATGATCGTGAGCAGTGGTGGGCAACGAAAGCAAAAGAGATGGAAAAGGCAGCGGCTGTAGGGAACACCAGGCAACTATTCAGACTAATAAAAGAAACCGGAATTAAGAAGTCAAGTGTAAGTGAGACAATCTCCGAAAAAGACGGAACCCTTATCTGCTCTAAACCCAAACGTTTAGAACGATGGGCGGAACACTTTAAGGAGCAGTTTAGCTGGCCTTCAGCTACTGCACAACTACCCACTATTCCTAGAAAACCTGAATGGAACATTGAAGTAGGCCCCCCGACCCTACTTGAAGTTCAAAAGGCTATAGGTAATCTGAAATGAGGAAGAGCAGCTGGTCCAGATGGATTGGCTCCAGAGGTCTTTAAATATGGTGGTCCGATTTTAGCGATTAGGTTGACTAATATTCTGGCTAAAATCTGGGAGACGGATGTAATCCCATCCGACTGGTCACAATCACTGATTGTCCCAATATATAAAAAGGGGTCAAAATCATCCTGCGATAACCATAGACGGATTAGTCCGACCAACATAGCATCTACAATACTAGCCTCAATAATTATCAGGCGCCTAACTAAGACTCGTGAACTGCAAACACGAGAAAATCAGGCTGGCTTCAGACCTGGTCGTGGCTGTATCGACCACATATTCACCATTCGTCAAGTCTTAGAGCACAGACACGCTTATCGGCGTCTGACAATGATAGTTTTTCTTGACTTGAAAGCAGCATTTGACTCTGTAGACCGAGAGGTTTTGTGGCAGTGTGTCATTAAAAGATGTACCTGAGAAGTACATAAACCTTGTGAAGGCTCTTTACTCGAACACTACCAGTCGAGTGAGAGCTTATGGCGAACTATCATATGATTTTACAACCTCAAGTGTTGTCCGTCAAGGCTGTCCACTATCCCCACTTTTGTTTAAATTCATTATAAACCTGTTGCTGGAAATAACACTCTCGCCGACTGAATTTACAGGAATTGATCTCCTACCAGGGGGACCACTAAGCGATTTAGAATACGCAGATGACATAGTCCTGTTTGGTGAAGACGCTGGCAAAATGCAGAGTCTTCTGTTGGAACTCAGTAATAATGCCAGGATGTTTGGGATGCGATTCTCCCCATCCAAATGTAAATTGTTACTCCAGGACTGGCCTGCATCAACACCTGAACTAAGGATAGGGAGTGAAGTAGTCGAACGCGTCGACAACTTCACTTATCTTGGAAGTCTGATCAGCCTTAATGAGTTGGTGTCTGACGAAATCTCAGCACGGATTCGAAAAGCTCGTTTGGCTTTCGCCAACTTACGTCACCTATGGCGAAGACGAGATATCCGTCTATGAATTAAAGGACGAGTATACTGCGCAGCAGTTCGCTCTGTTCTACTTTACGGCTACGAAACATGGCCATTAAGAGTAGAAGATACTCGTAGGTTACTAGTATTTGACCACAGATGCCTTAGAAATATTGCACGCATTTGCTGGGATCACCGGGTAAGTAATAGTGAGGTTAGACACAGGGTATTAGGAAATGATGGTAAATCAGTTGATGAGGTGATGAATCTTTATCGACTGAGATGGTTAGGCTACGTGTTACGTATGCCTGAACACCGATTACCACGACGCACAATGCTGACTAGTGTAGGGGATGATTGGAAGAGAGTTAGGGGCGGCCAAACCAAAACATGGCATCAGTGTTTGAAGTCACTAACTTCTAGTCTGAGCCATGTTGGCAGATGCAAACTACCTGGTTGGGGTCCGCGTGACTATTGTAAACAATTGTCGGAGACTGTGTGACATGGCTCAGAATCGATCACAATGGCGTAGGTGTATACACTCTTTATCTTCCTTTAAACCTTGAGACTAAAATTGCTTCATATCTCTCCTCCTTCCTGTACTATATCCTTATATACAACCTATAATTTATATACTACTACCACCACTACATTAATTAATTCTATGAATCCGGTGTTCATCTTGTTGTGCTCACGAGGTAATGGCAACTTGGGCCAGTGCAGATGTGCGCCTGGTCCTACGTTGTAGCTGACTGACTGACTGGCTTAGGTGTATACACTCTTTATCTTTCCTTAAACCTTGAGATTAGAATTGTTTCATAACTTTTTTTCTTTCCTATACTTTATCCTTATATACAACCTTTCCTTATATACTACCACCACTAAATTAATTACTTCTATGAATCCGGTGTTCATCTTGTTGTGCTAACGAGGTATGGCAACTTGGACCGATGCATGTGCCTGGTCCTATATTGTAGCTGACTGAGAGACTGATTACACTGCTGTTTTTATGTCAAAAGGCACTTATATCGGAGATTTGTTACCAATAAAACAGCTAACGGAAACCAATTGTTATATTCTACGCAAGACACAATTAAACAGTGCGGTGATAGGAAACCTATCTATCTTTCAAAAAAGTCTAGAACGAGAGATTTGGTGTTAGTTACAAAATATCTTACAAACGTCTCAACACATAAAACGGGACTTAGTAAGGGACTACGAAAAAACAAGTATCAAGATGTTTAAAAAATGTTTAACAAAACGGATGCTTACATAGGTCTTAGATGAGAGAATTCCTCCAAGTTCACTACCTCCCTGATCTTCGTCGGACGAATAGTAATCTTTCTTGTAATCGTCATGTTTATTATAGTTGGTCGTGTCTGATTTGTGTTCAAGTCGCGATTTAGTTGCTTGTGATAAAGCCTTGTTTTTTCTGATAGGTTTCCAACTACTGTCAGTGGAGAGTGGTTGATCAAAAGAAGGATGTTCATCAGCTGATTGAGAAGGACTGTACTCATGCTTTGGCTTGAGACGTCGACCATGTCGGCTTTTAACATGAGGATACAAATCACGGTCTCTAGGGATTTGTGAGGAAACACTATGTTTCGACTTGTGTTTCTTAAGAAGGTTGGCGGAGGAAACAGCCATGAGAGCAGCTGTTGACCGGTCTGTGAAGTGTAAGAACTTTTTCTGGCGGTTACGCTTAGGAGGTTCCACAACGTCATACAAAAACCTTTTGTTTATATAGTTTTCAGCCCCTGAGCGTTTACGCTTTTGTTCAGATAATGTTAGACGGCTGTCACTTGTATCGGTAGGCTTTCGCTTTGGATCTGACATGACTCTTGACTTCAGACTGGAGCCCAAGTTGGAGGCAGCGGAGTTTCTCGATGTTTTTCTCTCAGAATTACGGTTATCTTTAGCAACAGGAACCTTATCACTAGATGTCCTGAAATTATTGAGACAAAAGTAATACTCACGTGGTTAGGATCTGATCGCTGTCAATGTTTTTCGACTTTGCACTGCTGAAACTTGAAATAGTTACATATTATTAGTACCTTATGGGCCGGATATATCTGTCTTTTTTTGTCGTTTTTAGTGATCCAGGATTCGGTACAAATTTACGGGAGATCCTACAGGGATTAAGGTTAAAATCGTTATACCTGATGTCGTTTCTTTTAGACGGCATTACACTTTTTAATCCCAGGATGAAGATTTATTTTTTACTTGTACTCCACATTACAACGGATCCAGCAGCCTATAAATCTAGCTCAATTGAGGACAAGTCCCTAATAACGTAGCGCAACAATGCAGATCAAAAAATATGGTGATTTGAGTCCATACAAACAAAACCCTACGAAATATTTGGACTTGTCAAAATCCATGAAATAATAGACACAAAACGCAAAATAACTTAGGCCTATCAAATATTTGCTTGTTATGCTCTCTTTTTGTCCGACTCTTAACTTGAAAACTTTGAATCTTACTTGACGGGATTAACCAACTATTTGTTCAAATGGTTGTTCTTTGGAATCTGAGTCTTAGCGGTAGGAGAGCGTTATTGATGTTCGAAAATTATGGTGCTTGTTATGTTCCTATTAAAGCTGGAACGTGAAAGCAGTCTTGCTTCCCATTTTTAATTTGGGAATATGGCAAGGCTCATACCTTTACAAAACCACGGGCTTATTCCATATGTCGAGGGGGAAATCTCGAAGGAGTTAAAGTCCAAAAATTCTTCTAGTGAAATTTGAAGCTAAAGCCATTTGTTAGAAGTGGAAGGAATCGTAAAATAATATTTGAAGGGATCACATTCATAACCTACCGAAATAAAGTAAACGTCAAACCTCCTCTTGTAAGACTCTGCAGAACGTACCGTCACGGTTTAGTGGTTCTGACTACGGTAGAGCAGGCGCCAACCTGCATGTGATCCCTTGTATGCTTCATCTTTGTTGTATTTCTGTGATGTTTAAATAAATCAATGACTTCTTTGTATTGATGACGGTTGTGGTTTTGAATTATAAATACAATACATTCGTTTGTGCTCCTCTTGTACTTCTTGATTAAACTGCGTTATTCCTGGGATTACTAGTTTATACTACAATTCAAATACTTCTAATTATCATATTGGCTTCGCGATGGAGCCTGCGATACAACAGTTGGACATTCATTCAACTTCTGAAGCTTTTGAGGATTACCTTGAAAGGTTTGAGATATGGAGCATGACCAAGAAAGATATGATGGATGACAAAATCGTGGCACATTTTCTTACATTCATCAGTCAAGAAACCTACAGTTTACTAAAAACCTTGGCATATCCAGATAAGCCGATCGCACTTCCATATTCAACTCTCAAGGAATTACTATTAAATCATGTGAAGTGCACCAGTTTTGAATGTCCTGAGAGAGCAAAATTTCATAAGATGGCTCCTCAGAATAACCAGAAGGTTAAGGACTTCATCCTTGAATTGCAAAGACAAGCTGCCAAATGCAATTTTGGTGATCAACTTTATGTACAGCTGAGATATCGATTAATTGCTGGAATTAACATACCAGGTCTGGAAAAGTAGCTGTTAAGAATGCCGAACTGTTCTTTTCAAGATGCTAGAACTGCATGTATTAACTACGAAGCAGTGAATGAACTTGATATTTGATCGATGAAAAATTCTAATACTTTGCTTAGTCATCATGATGAAATACAATTCCAGGGTCGATCAAATTCGCGTTCGTTTAATCGTGATTTCTACTCAATTGGAAATATGAAAGGTGGTTTAACAAGGAACTGCAAAGCAAACAACAAAGGTGATAAGAAGTTTGGCAAATGCTTATCTTGTGGCAAATTTTATTCTCGTAATTCATGTGCATTTCGTAATGCTAAATGTTTTAAATGTGGCAAGATAGGACACATTCAGTCAGTGTGCAAAACTACTGTTCACTTTCATGGTAAGCAGAGATGGATAGTGGCTAGCAGTGGAATCCAGGACGCGCGTTTCGTCCTATTTGGGACTCGTCAGCTGAATGTACCTGCATCTCAGAGTGAACATCAACTCTGAGATGCAGGTACATTCAGCTGACGAGTCCCAAATAGGACGAAACGCGCGTCCTGGATTCCACTGCTAGCCACTATCCATCTCTGCTTACCATGCTTGTGAATTAAGGTATATCGAGGCAATACGCACAGTATGCATATATGCCAATTAGAGACTGACCAGTTGCAGTCCTAAACACATCGATGGGAAGATCCAAACAAACAATACTAAGTGAATACTGTTCACTTTGCTTCAAGTATTACTAAGTCCGGTAACTTAGATCCCAATAATTCGGCTGTTCTTAATGATCATTTATCTTTATCCACCACTTCAAAAGGGAATGTTCATATTCAAAAGCCATTATATACATCCCTTGGTTCATTTCATGACTTTATTGTGGACACAGGTAGTATAGAGTCCATTATTTCAGTCAAGAACTTGAAATCTTTAGATCCTAATGTTGTGTTAAAACCCACTGAGGTCTCAATACTAGGATTACTGGACACAGACTACCTATACGAGGATGTTGTAGATTGCTAATAAGAAATGATAATTCTTCATACGTACCTTGTGAATTTTTAGTTAGTGAAACAGAACTGTCCATACTGGGTTTAAAAAATCTGAAAAGGCTTAAAGTGGAATTGTCTCTACTAGTTTCTGCAGAGAATTCTGATGCTTTACTCAAGGATTTGATAGCTGTGTGTGCTAAGTGTAGTGGAGGTATGAAAATTCAGCCTATAAAACTTCAAGTACAGGGTGATCCGGTCTTTCTTAAAAGACGAATAATTCCTTATGGTCTTCGAGGAGCAGTACATAAGTCACTGAACGATTTGTGTGAAAAGATATAATTGAACCAGTTCAGTCCTCAGCATGGGGTACTCCTATTGTTACGCCATTGAAGTCGGATGGCAAGACCCCTAGAATATGCGGTGATTACAGATTAACACTGAACTCTCGTTTGTTGAGGCAAACATGCACGATGATTGAGGCTGAAGATATTCTAAATTGACTTCATGGTTCTAAAGTGTTCTCGAAAGTTGACTTGAAAGATGCTTATCTTCAAATCCCTTTAGATCAATCTTCATCTATCTTGACAACAATTAACACTCCTTTTGGTCTGTTCAAATACAACTTCCTTCCATTTGATCTTAGTTGTTCTCCAGCCATATTTCAAGAGGTCATGAATAAGATAGTCAGCGATATTGAAGGTGTTGAAGTTTATCAAGATGATCTCATTGTTCATGGTGCTGATAAAGTAGTTCATGACCAGAGACTTATTGCTTTATTGCGTCGTTTAATGGAGAAGAATATTACAGTGAATCCAAATAAATGTTCATTTAGTGTATCCAGTTTTGAATGCCTTGGATACCTAGTTGATGGTAATGGTTTTAGACCAGATATGAAACGACTAGCCCCACTGACAAATGCACCGTCTCCAAAAAATATCACAGAATTACGTTCACTAGTGGGTGCTCTTCAGTACTATTCTCGTTTTATTCCTAATTTTTCTTGTCGTGCCAATTGTTTATTTAATATTTTGACATCCAACTCATTCAAATGGGGTGAAGAACAAGAGTCATGCCTACGAAGTTTGCTAAAGTTTCTTCAAAGTGATGCTGTTCTTCGAACTTACTCACCCAGTGCACATTCTGTTCTTATTACTGATGCATCACCTGTAGGTATTGGTGCAGTTTTGGAACAGGAAGGTAGGCCAGTTATATGTGTTGTTATATGTGATGTTTAAATAAATCAATGGCTTCTTTGTATTGATGACTGTTGTGATTTTGAACTATAAATACAATACATTCATTTGTGATCATCTAATACTTCTTGATTAAATTGCGTTATTCCTGGGATTACTAGTCTATACTACAATTCAAATACTTCCGGCCATCATAATTTCTTACTAGGGGTACATCCCTAAACAAATTCCCAAAAAATAGCATTTTAAGTCTTCGATACGAAGTAGATCAAATTTTTGTCGAAGCATATAAAGAAGCTTTTGCGTAATGGGCTTCCCTGCCCAGTAGCAATGGATTACCATTGCCTTCAGTTATGGCTTTGGGTATATTTAACAATCAAAAATGAAATAATTATGTGATACTGGCTAGAGGCCTTTAAAATATATCTAGTTTTCTTCTGAAGGACTTATGAAAAGTTGCTTGTACCACCTTAACCGGCAGAGGATTCCGGAATTTGACTGTTCGTAAAGGATGAGGTGTGGGATTTTGTTTGAGCCTGCTATGTCATGGCTCTAATTTCTGGGTGTTCCCTCTAAGGTTCGGAACTGAGCTTGAGTAAGGAGTTTAGGGGATGACCGAGAGTGTTTTGGAATCTAGAAATCATTAGCTAACTAATGAGGCCCCTATAATCTAACTGGAAAAGATCCATTTAGTTAAGGAGCTCTACATAAGACTTTAATCTCAATCTCCGTACTGAGTTCATGGCTCACTTTTGGATACACTTCAGATTTTTACCATCCTTTGGTGCTGAGGACGAAATCGGAACTAAGACCTCGCGGCACTGTAGGATACTAAGGTCAAACTCAGGCGGTCGATGGAGATAGGACTAAACCATCACTTTGTTGTGGCCTGGAATACTCTGATCGCAAATCGATGCCCAATCGACCTCGTTATGCTATCTAATGTGTATGCTTATGTATATGGATTGCGGAATTCCTAGGACTTACGCAGTTCATGTGCGTGGGCATATGCAAAAGCTTTGCATGTGGTCATACAATGGAAACTTACTTATGCCTGTCACCTCTCGTTGACGAGCACAGGCCGCACACCAGCACTCTCCATCTAACCCTGCCCAGGGTGATCCATCCCAGTCCTTACCACTTACTACCAATCCTTTTCATGTCTACTTCCGTTTCCCGGGGTAATGTGATCTTCAGCCTTCCTCTTTCCTATTTCCCTTCACGATTCGAAGTTAGCTCTTGTCTCGTGATGCAGTTTGATGATTTACTTAATAAATGTCCTATACACTTGTAAGATCCATTTTGAAGGTGAAAATCCCTCTATGTATACCTTTGCAATTTCTTAACAGTTTCTTTATTTGTACATATTGTTAATCTTTTTTATGCCAATTGAGACTGTAATGTTTAGTTTTTATGATGGTTTCCCCAGTTTTTCTATCGCTTTCATTGAGTTTCTATGTT